AAACAATAAGAGACAGAGCTGATGGCAGTTTAGATGTCTTCTCTCCTGATGTAGTACTGCCTGACTTGCTGTCTACTGCAGCTTTGAATGAGTGAGAGTGGTGGCCATTAGCTGGTCTACTGGAAGTAGCTTGACAGTAGTTCCACAGTCCAATACTTGCTCTCCATTGAGAGACATCAATCATCTTGTAGTTATATATTGAACTGTTATGTTACAAAAAGTACAGCGATTGTATGTGTCTAACTCAGTAAATTATATCAGGAATATAATAGACTAACTTTAGTCTATTGTATTCCTGATTATATTCATGGATCATCATCACTATCACATGACAGTGACTGTTTGTATTACTTTACAAATTTGGGCATGTCTATAAATAACAAAAGGAAGAATTAATCAGATCAACCAGCTATAGTACATTGTATAAAGGATGGGTGTATCAGTGTATGTGTGTGGTATATAGGACCTCATGAAAATAGTTACTGGAACACACCAATAACACTGAATATCATTATTAATAACAGCAATACAGTGATAGCAAAAAATGCCATAATCATTCACATTTAAGTTTTACTAACAATTGTAATTGCTGATAATTTCAAAAGCAATGTTTTTGTCAATGCTACATGCATTAACATGAATGTTGCTCAAAGTTAGGGCTACTCCAATAATCAAATTGATCATTAAAAATGGCTCCAAATACCCCAAATTTGTATTACATTTCCTGCATATTGATGTCCTTATGCTGTGTAGAAAGTTTGAGCTGGTTCCGACTAATACTTTTTGAGTTATGATCGTAAAAGTTAGAACCTATTACAATGTACATTTCCTCATAACATTATTATAAAATTTGTTTATGTAGCTCTAGATCATTTTGTCATAATGTGTTCAGTAAACTATTTTTCTCCTTTACAGGTTTCAATGTATATAAAGCTTTGATTGTGATAAAAAATATAAATACCCTGTATATATTGAATTTTATTTCATGCTATTTCCTATCAAATCTATTTCTATATTCTATAGATCTACTGAACTATATACTGAATATTGTTCTGACTAAACGATATAATCTAACAGTAATAATCTAAAAATTAATCTACTTTTGATTATTAGTCAGTTTATACTATTATGCATGTATCAGCATAATCATGTCTATAGTACCGGTATGTAATAACAATTCATAGATATCAACATGGGAATAGCTATCAAAATTGTAGTGAATCAACTTGATGATAGCAATCTGTTAAAATGGCTGACTTAGAGGGCTCTACTTCTTCTATTCAAGTTGTTGAGCAAAGTAATAGGAATTTTAATGAATCAGAAGTGAGAAGGCTACAAGAAGCTGTACAAAGATTGAGCCAAAGAGGAGAGCCAATCAACATATTAGTGATTGGTCCAACTGGGTCTGGTAAATCAACACTCATCAATGCTTTACTGGGAGGCACTGTAGCACTAGTGGGTGCAGGAGCAGCATCTGTACAGTCTGAAGTTGAAATACATGAAGGACAACATGATGGAATAACAATAAAGGTGTATGATACTACAGGCTTCAGTGACACAGAGGGTCATAGTGAGGCTGATATCGTTAAAGACATCGCCAAAGCCAACAAGTTCGATTTGATACTAATCTGCATGAGGATGGACTCAAGAGCAGATGATAAAGTTAGAAGAATGTTTGATGTACTTGGGGGGATGATAAATAAGGAAATGTGGGAGAGATCAGTGGTTGTACTGACGTTTGCAAACATTGTCCTTCAACTAAGAAATATTAAAAAATTGCCCAATAAAGCAGAAGCACTGAGGAATGAGATAAATGAATTCGAAAGATACGTTCATGGATTCCTCAGGGACAGCAAAATAAAACAGGAGACGATAAGAGAGATACCATTCTGCATAGCTGGGGATGAGGACGAGAGAAAATTACCAATAACCGATGACTGGTTGAAAGAACTGTGGAACCAATGCATAGGACGTTCCAGTGAAGACGTTGGCGAATTTCTCAATTTCATAGCAAAATACAGAATGCTAATAGAAGCAGGAACTATGAGTGGTACTACTGCAGTTGGATTATTTGTGTGTGGAGCAATAGGAGGAGGAGTAGGGTCAGTTATTCCAGTAGCAGGTACAATAACAGGAGCTGCAGTGGGGGCTGGGATTGGTGCTGGCCTGGCTGTTATTATTACTAGTATTGCAATAGCTATTACACGAAAAGTAAAGAAAAATCAATCTAACTGAAAGAACATAAAAATTATATAGCTGTACTTACAATGCTGTGTTTTTGAATTATAAATGACTAATTTCAAAATAAAGACACTTTGCGTCCGCAAAAAGAAAAGTTAGAATAATTACCGTATAAGTGGTTTTTTTCGAGTGTTGCAAATTTCACGAATTTTGCGGATTCCCTCGTGATTCGCGAAAATAAAATCCGCGAAAATCAATTTAATACGGTACCCGCATGGCACACGTGGTAGAATTCGCGAAATTAAAATCTGTGAATTGGAATTTTAGCAGATTTCGCGAAATATAACTCCCTCGCAGAGGCGTATTTAGGGGGGGGCTGAGGGGGCTTGAGCACCCCCCTCAGGGCTGGGCTCAGAAAAAATTACTGAAGTCCTGGACTCTTGCATCACTACCAAGCCTCTTAACAAAGTTATCTAGCCCCCTTATCATGGTTTCAGCAGTTTCCAGTGCTTTAAGGAGCAATCAGAAGTACCAGTAACATAGCAGTATGCTTGAAATGATCTTGGCCCCACCCGTAATTGACGAAAATGCAGGAAAAGGCCGTTTTACCGCCGTAAAAGTGGGTGTGGCCAAAATCGCGGCGCGCCCTCAGCACCCCCCTTCTCTAATTTCTAGATACGCCCCTGCCTCGAAAAAAACCACTTATACGGTATTCTAAGTCTAAAGATTGACCTATATTAATAATTAGTGGTGCTTTAAACAACAACAACAGCAATAATAATAATGATGATAATGATGAAAACTTAAACTTGAAATATACAATGTACATGTATTTCTTCCTCTCTCTCTCTTTCCTAACCTGCTTGCGTACTTGTACCACTGACTGCTATGATTGTAGGAAAGCAGTTGTCAAAGCAACAGCGCATGAAATCTTCAACAATGACGCCTACAAAAACACCTTAATCGTCCCTCTCTCTTACATTCTTATTATTGTGTCTGATCCCATGGTGTCCAAGATAAGAAGGTGTATAATGGCGTGAGTATACATTGAGTATCTTATCAGCACTGACTAGTATAACATCTAGTAATGGAGGAAAAGGAAACAAAAACAATAATAATTATTAAGACAAAACATCTTGACTAGCTAATTTCACAAGTTGTTTTGAGAAATTTTGCTGATTTAGGTTTAACTGACTACACACAGCAAAGGCCAATTTACCAAACTTTATATGCCCCTCTAAATATGCTTACTAAGTTACCCGGTACATGCCACATGACATGACTGCCTTTGAGGAATTATCTCACAAGTCTTCTGAAAATGCAATGGTCCTTTAAATAACCAGAAGTCCACGCCCCAATCTGTATTGTTTTATTAAACTTTTTATAAAAATAGTATTAAGTAGCAAAATTATACACACTACATATTATGTATACTATAATAATATATAACATAACATAATAATAATAATTATATAATAATTATAACAGTATAATATTTATGCTAACAATCTGATCCAGGGCCTGTAAAATATCCGCTGGATCCAGAGGCTTCAGATCCTGTAGTCGTGCGCTCAATTCGTTTACCTGTGATAATGTCGCATCTATTGGGTAGTGTTTGTTTTTGAAATCCAAGCAGATGTTCCTCTTTCATTAAATTTTTATACACAGGTATAGATCTACTATCTTCATTCTGTTTGATTGTAACTAATGTAGATCTAAACATCTCACCAGTCTTGAATGTAGTACACCCTTCATTAGATTTAATAGTTGGAGCTTTCCATTCTAACAATAACCTAACTACTTCATAATGGCCATTAGCACTGGCAATCATTGAAGCAGTAACACCATCTTTGTTTTGAACATTAGGATCAACTTGTTTCTTCAGCAAGAATTCAACTATTTGAGTGTGACCATTTTTGCAAGCTAACATAAAAGCATTCCAACCATCATTTCTTTTGGCATTAGGATCAACTTGTTCCTTTAGCAACAGTTCAACTATTTGAATGTGACCATTTTGACATGCTGCCATAAAAGCACTAATTCCTTCCTTTGTTTGAACATTAGGATCAATTAATTTCTCCAGTAACAGTTTAACTATTTGAGCATGGCCATTTTCACAAGCTAGCATAAAAGCATTCACTCCATCTTTTCGTTGACATTTATAGTCAACTCCTTTACTAATCAATAGCTCAACAACCTCATAGCTACCATCATAACTAGCAATCATTACAGCATTTGATCCAAATGATGTCTTCAGGTGAGGATTAGCATTAGCTTGTAGTAACATGTGAATGATTGAAATGTGATTATATTTACTTGCTATCATTAGTGAAGTCCATCCTTTATTGTCCTGAATGTTAACATTAGCTCCAGCAGACAGTAAACTGTGTACAATGTCCTCATGTCCTCTTTCACAAGCTAACATTAGTGCTGTCTTGCCTTCTTCATTAGTATGATCAATATTAACAGTTTCTAGTTGAAGAAGAAACTCTACTCAGGGGCGTATCTAGAAATTAGAGAAGGGGGGTGCTGAGGGCGCGCGAGGCGCGCCGCGATTTTGGCCACACCCACTTTTACGGCGGTAAAACGGCCTTTTCCTGCATTTTCGTCAATTACGGGTGGGGCCAAGATCATTTCAAGCATACTGCTATGTTACTGGTACTTCTGATTGCTCCTTAAAGCACTGGAAACTGCTGAAACCATGATAAGGGGGCTAGATAACTTTGTTAAGAGGCTTGGTAGTGATGCAAGAGTCCAGGACTTCAGTAATTTTTTCTGAGCCCAGCCCTGAGGGGGGTGCTCAAGCCCCCTCAGCCCCCCCCTAAATACGCCTCTGCTACTGCTTCATTATTACCAGCTATGACTGCTTCAAGGAGAGCTAGTTCAAAGGTGAAGTTCATATTCTCATCTTCTTGAAGGACAGGATGATCATTAATGTATAAACTAAATATACCAATGAGACGCATAAACTGTAACTTTCCTCCAGCATATTCTATTAGACTATCAACTGTAGAACCATATACAGAATATTGGATGATAACAGATCCAGAAGATATTGTAATATATTTCATTATTGACTGCCTGTGTCCAACTGGAAGTAAGTTGTATATCAATAGAGAGAGTCCATTGATGTTGCTACCATGCCATGGATTATGAAGCGTCATTAAAATCATTGGCATATTTGATGTATCTAGCATGTGTTTTTTATATACTTTCTTCAGTGATTCATTAAGATGCTTCACTTGAGCTGAAAATCGAAGTTTATCAGCTTTTTCTTGATATTGTTGTAACACACTAACAATATTTAACTCATCACTAAATTTAAAACCTTGTAGAAAGGCTTCACTCATGTCCACTATCAGACGACAATCAATAAAATCATAAAATGGATGAATAATATTGAAAGTTTCATCTAATGATGCATTTGTTAACTTGTCACTCCAGTTCATGTATGCCTCAATCCATCTTGTTATATCAATGAGTAGTTTAGAATCTGAGGTTTCCTTCTCATCAAATGCTGTCCGTACCTTTCTCATTAAACTAGCAAATGATTTGTTGAGACCAATTAATGTATCCAATATCTCCTTTTCACCTTCTGCTGTTTCAAACATTACTTCTGCCTGTGATGATGGTCTGGTAGTGACAGCATGATAACTTCTAGCTGACCTTGGGGCACTTTTTTGTAAGTTTCTTCTAATGTCTTGTACAAGTTTGTTTTCTCTTCTTCTGTTCAGTGCATTAATCACATCAGCCCATGTTGCTTTAGGTGCTACACTCAGCCATTTTGAATATAATACTGACTTTCTTTCATCAATTTTTGTATTTTCTGCTTCAATCTTTAAAATGTCTGAAAATTTAATTCCTGGTAAGCAACGACCAAAAGGTTTCCAGTCAACAAGTGGTTCAAGCCATTGAGTTAATAATGAAATATCAGGTCGATCATCAATCATAGGACCAGGATTGAGTTCAACATCTCCTGATAAGAGGAGGAGGAGAAGTAAAACCAAACAGTAAATCAGGTCAGAGCTACTGCCAATAGTAGCTATAAACAAGACTAATGACTGGAGGCAGTGGATCATAACAGTAACAGTAATTATACCTATTGTAAATATACTGTATGATAATATCATATACTGTTAGTTTGTTTACCAGTTGGAATAAAATTGAGCTTCATATATCTTAATAAAGATAAAAGAAAAGAAACAATAAGAAACAGAGCTGTTAGCAGTTTGGATGCCTTCTCTCCTGATGTAGTACTGCCTGACTTGCTGTCTACTGCAGCTTTGAATGAGTGAGAGTGGCAGCCATTAGCTGGTCTACTGGAGGCAGCTTGACAGTAGTTCCACAGTCCAATACTTGCTCTCCATTGAGAAACATCAATCATCTCGTGATTATTATATTGAAGTTGTGTTACAAAAAGTACAGCTAAGTAGTTCCTCTAATTGTCTATGTGTAACTGAATTATATTCATGGATCATCATCACTGTCACATGACAGTGACTGTTTGTATTACTTTACTACTGTTATTATTGTCATTTCAGTTACTATGCCCAAATTAGGACATTTCACAAATTTCCTATATAATAACAAAAGTAAGAATTAATTATGATGACTCGGATCAACTATATGTACCAGCTATAGTGCATTGCGTAAAGGATGGGTGTATCAGTGTATATGTGTGGTATATAGGACCTCATGAAAATAGTTACTGGAACATACCAATAACACTGAAATCATTATTAACTGAATGTCATCATCAATAATGATTATAATTAATAGAACAATGCTGGTTGCATAGTCAACAGTATCAAAAATAATTATCAAAGTTATTTTTTGTAAACTTTATCCATAAGTAACTAGTAATGTTTACATTAATATAGTAAAAATTTGTCCTCCTATGTCCTTTTCACGCTACAACAAAATAAAATTGTTGACATTCATATGCAAGTTTTTTCTACAAAATTATTTATTTGGCAGACTCTATAATGAAAGAATAACGAGAGACTACACAAATTGATGCTAAATATCTATACTCCCACCAAATAAGCACTCACTGATTACTGTATGATAGTGAATGCAGCTAACAATTTTAAGATTGACGATTAGCAACAAAAGTTACATATAAATATACTCTTGATTAATAGTCACTTACTATTAAGCAGCAAGTTGTATTATGCATTGTTCAGACAAGTATAAGTAGCTCTACAATACATAATATTTAGTTAAGTAGCAAAAATTACGCATTCGAGTAACAATAAAAATAGAGTACAACATCACTTTTATTTGTGAAGTCTGGTAGAGTTAACTATTGCAGCCAAATTTATAAAGTTAATGTTGAAGGACAACTACTCATACTACTGATATCTGATGGTGCAGTTGTACGGTAACCACTGGTTACTGTTACAGCATCATCCTTCTTATCCATGTTGTCGTTGATCAATGCCTTTATTTTAGAGTGTTTTGAAAGTGATAACGCAGTGTTGCCTTTCATAGATTTAATAGTTGGGTCAGCTTTCCATTCTAATAATAACTTGACTACTTCATAATGTCCTTTAGTACTGGCAAGCATTAAAGCAGTACGTCCTTCTTTGTTTTGAACATTAGGATCAACTCGTTCCATCAGCAACAGTTTGACCACTTCATTATGGCCATTTTGACAAGCCAACATAAAAGCATTTGCTCCATCTTCTCGTTGATAATTATAATCAACTCCTTTACTAATCAATAGCTCAACAACCTCATAGTTACCATAGTAACTAGCAATCAATAAAGCATCTGATCCATCTGCATGAACTTGTAGTAACATGTGAATGATTGAAATGTGATTATGTTTACTTGCTATCATTAGTGCAGTCCATCCTTTATTGTCCTGAATGTTAACATTAGCTCCAGCAGACAGTAAAGTACGTACAATGTCCTCGTGTCCTCTTTCACAAGCAAACATTAGTGCTGTCTTGCCTTCTGAATTAGTATGGCGATCTAGCTCAAGATGAGTTAGAAACTCTGAAGCTTTATCATTACCAGTTGTAACTGCTTCAACGAGAGCTTCTAGGCCAAAGTTTAACTTTCTATTCACATCTTCTTGAAGGAACGGATGATCATTAATGTATAAACTAAATATACCAATGAGATGCATAAACTGTAACTTCCCTCCAGTATATTCTATTATGCTATCAGCTGATGTGACGTTAACAGATCCAAAAGATACAGTAATATGCTTCCTTATTGACTCTTGGTATCCGACTGGGAAAAATTTACAAATCAGTAGAAAAAGTCCATTGACATCACTACTATCCCATGGATTATGAAGCTTCATTAAAATCATTGGCATATTTGATGTATCTGGTATATATCTTTCATATATTGTTTGCAATGCCTCATTAAGATGCTTCACTTGATCTAAAACACAAATTTGATCAGTTTTTTTCTTGTATTCTTTTAATTGAAAAACAATACTAACATCATCATTAAATTTAAAATCTTTAAGAAAGACTTCACTCATGTCCACTATCAGACTGCAATCAATAAAATCATAAAATGGATGAATACTTTCGAAAGTTTCTTCAAGTGATCTATTTTTTAGTTTGTCATTCCAATGCATATGTGCCTGCAACCATATGATAAGACCACGTAATATCTTGGGATTCTTTTCAATTTTTTCCTCAAGGCCTAGTTGTGCATGCATTACTAAAATAGAAAATTCTTTCTTGAGGCCATTTAGTGTATTCATTATCTCCTTTTCGCTTTCTGCACTGTGAAACTTTACTGTCTTCTTCGGTGATGATACAAAAGCAACAAAACTTCTAGCTGACTGTGGTGACCTTTTTTGTAACTTTCTCCTAATGTCTTGTGCAAGTTTGTTTTCTTCTGTCTTGTTCAGTGCATTAATCACATCAGCCCATGTTGCTTTAGGTTCTACCTTCAACCATTTTGAGTATAATGCTAACTTTCTGTCTTCAATTTTTGTGTTTTCTTGTTCAATTTTTGAAACGTCATGCTCTTTTATTCTAACTAAACATAAACCAAATTGTTTCCAGTCAACAAGTGGTTCAAGCCATTGAGTTAATAATGAAATATCAGGTCGATCATCAATCATAGGACCAGGATTGAGTTCAATATCTCCTGATAAGAGGAGGAGAATGCGTAGACAAACAATCAAATAGAGATCATTGTAAATCAGGTTAGAACTGCTGCCTCCAGGTAAGACACTGACAGGAGGTAATTTGTATCAGTAACAGTAACACCAGTAGTACATTGTATTTGATAGTAGTTACCTAATAATAAAATACCAGTAAATATACAAGTACAAAGTTGCAATTGTTGTTTACCTGTTGGAGGAATCATCAAGATGTGTCTTAATAAAGAAAGAGAGTGAAAGAGGAGGAGGAAAGCAATAAGAAACAGAGCTTCTGGCAGTTTAGATGTCTTCTCTCCTGATGTAGTACTGCCTGACTTGCTGTCTACTGCAGCTTTGAATGAGTGAGAGTGGTGGCCATTAGCTGGTCTACTGGAGGCAGCTTGACAGTAGTTCCACAGTCCAATACTTGCTCTCCATTGAGAGACATCAATCATCTTGTACTATAGTATGGAGGACAATGAGAGAATTCAGTAGGTAACTTAAGGTGTAGCTATTTCAGCGATCACTTACACCACAATAGAGAAAGAAGGACTTTATAAAAGGTAAAAGGGAATACGATGATTAGTAACCTTCACAATTTTCACAAGAGGAACACTGAAGTTTTTGGAGTAGCAACAACATGTATAAGTACGATGGGTTTATTTCATGAGGTATAGCATGATTTGCACCTCATGAAAATAGTTACTGGAATACACCAAATAACATTCACAACAATAATTATAATTAATAGAACAATACTGATTGTATAGTCAACAGTATTATGCCACATCAACTCTTTTTATTGCTAAGTTGTCCTTTTTCTAAAACAACAAGCTACAACGTATATATGCAAGCAATGGAGAACAATTTTTTTCCACAAATTTTTATCTCATAATGAAAGGAAAATGATGAGCTACCCAAGTTATAAAAAGATCAAATTTAATATTAAACATCCTCCCACCAAACCACATTAAAATCGATATTATTATTATTATTAAATTATTATTTTATTCAAATAGTGCAGTATAGTAAAAGATAAGATATTATTAGTAACCACCCATATAACTAGTTAATTAACCATTATAACTATTAATAACCACACCCACAAGTGATTAACTCTTAGTCAAATAGTAATACACAGAGTAACTAACTACTATTAAAGCCACACCCACTAATAATAAAGGTACAGTGTATTCACGAGTTTCTTGTGTGCGGAGATTCTCTTGCATCAGCTGGACTTTAGCTTGTAACCTTGTAGCTCTCTCTTCTCTCAGTCTCCTCCTTAATTCAGAGGCTTCCCTGGGGAGGGAGGGAGAGGGAGAGAGGGAGGGAGGGAGAAAGAGGGAGGGAGGGAGAGGGAGAGAGGGAGGGAGAGAAATTACGAGAAGAGTAAACTTAGCAAACAAATGTACATATACTTAAAGATTTGGCTACAGACGACTAGTTGTACATGTACATATTATGATTTAGTATCATAACCTAAAGATTAACATGCACAGTTTAATTGTAAATATTTTAGCAATACACATGTACATGTACATATACTTTATAATGATTACATGTATACTATAATATTATATACTGGATATTTACTTTATTCTTAATTCTTCTGATGTCAGTTGTTTAGGTGTTGCTTTATCATCAACCAGTCTCTCCAACTCTGTCAGCTCTCGTATCAAAGCCTCTTCATCATTAGAACTACCCATCACCACCTTCTCCCTCTCCCTCTCCTCCTCTGGTTCCTTCTTTCTCATTTTTACCGGCAGAGGGGGCGGAGTCAAGTCTCTTGGAGGTCTTACGGGGGGAAGAGGAGGGAGTTCCCCCGTCTCGTCTCCTCTTCCTACCCCTAAAAAATGACCGGTATCTTCTTCAAATTCCTCCTCCTCCTCCTCCTCTTCCTCCTCCCCGGTTTCGTCTCTAGGGGGACGCACCCTATCCTCCGTCACCTCATCACGCATGGGCGGAGCCTCGTGACTGGGCGTGGCTTTCATTTGATCGTTACGTGGTGGTAATGGGGGCGGGGCTTCATCATCATCATTATCAGGTGGTATTATTCCTAATTGATCGTTACGAGGTGGAGGAGGGGGCGGGGCCTCTTCTTCGTCCTCTTCCCAAGCGGTTCTTGGTACTTCGTTGGACCCGTTCAGGTACCAGGGGGTCGGGTCCTCTTCGGAGGATTCTGATTGGGTACCGTCTTTTGGGCGGGGCTTGTATCGGAAGTTGAGGTCTTCAAGATCGTCGTCATCGTCTCTTCTCAATCGAACGTAAATTGGACCTCCTAATAGCAAAAATAATAATAATAATAATAATAATAATAATAATAATAATAATAATAATAATAATAATATTTGATCAGAATCAGCTCAAATTTTCAATGCAGCATACTGTAGGAACATGTACGTGTATATGTATTGGGAAAAATTATAAAAATGAAAAAAAAATTCTGCTTTTCATTTTTGGCAAAATTTGGCTAATGACCCTGTACTATAGTACAGGGACTTTTGTCCGATTTTGGAGCAACTTTAAAAATTCGTAAAAAATTTAATTTTGGTCAGAATCAGTTCAAACTTTCTATGCAACATAAAAACATGCATATGTATCACGAAAAAGTATAAAAATGGAGAATTCTCCACTTTTCATTTTTGGCAAAATTTGGCTAATGACCCTGTACTATAGTACAGGGACTTTTGTCCAATTTTGGAGCAACTTTAAAAATTCGTAAAAAATTCAATTTTGATCGGAATCAACTCAAACTTTCTACGCAACATAAGAACATGTATATGCATCAGGAAAAATTATAAAAATGGAGAATTCTCTTCTTTTCATTTTTGGCAAAATTTGGCTAATGACCCTGTACTATAAGAAGTCTGGTAAGCATAGGAGCTCGTTTTCCCGGTATAGCAAGGCTGCAAAAGTCGTGGCAGCCATTTTGTTTGGGGGTGAATCCTACTTAGTAACGCTACCGCGTTACTAATAGTACAGGGACTTTTGTCCGATTTTGAAGCAACTTTAAAAATTCGTAAAAAATCCAATTTTGGTTGGAATCAGTTCAAACTTTCTACGCAACATAAAAACATGTATATGTATCAGGAAAAATTATAAAAATGGAGAATTCTCTCCTTTTCATTTTTGGCAAAATTTGGCTAATGACCCTGTACTATAAGTACAGGGACTTTTGTCCGATTTTGAAGCAACTTTAAAAATTCGTAAAAAATCCAATTTTGGTTGGAATCAGTTCAAACTTTCTACGCAACATAAAAACATGTATATGTATCAGGAAAAATTATTAAAATGGAGAATTCTCTCCCTTTCATTTTTGTCAAAATTTTTGAGCAAAAATTAAAAAAATCATAAAAATGGACAAAATGTAATAAAATTAAGAATTACTTCAATAATAAAATTATAATAATTAATTAATGAATACCTGGTGGCGGTAGGTTTGGTGGAGGAGGAGGAGAAGGTGATTCATTCCTTATCATGTCTGGTGGTCTGGGCGGTATAGGGGGTGGAGCATCATTACTGAAGTCCTGATCTTTATAAATATTGACCTTCTGGGTACCATTCTGACCCGACTCATCTACAAAATAAATAAATTCAGTTTTAAATTTTAAATTTAAATGGTGGGAAAACTGCTTGACTTTTATTGCAACTGATTAAAGCCTGGTTCATGCTCGCCACAAAAGGCAATGCAAATGAGTGTAAAATTATAATTAGGCCAATTTTGTGCCGACTTTAAAGTGGTTTTGCGTCAAAAAGTCAGATCACCAATGTACTTTTGACTATTTCGTCAAATGTAAACCTAACTTTAAGCACTATAAAAATTATCTTTAACTGTACATTGCTACTCATCCATCTTTAACTTTTAACTTTAACTTTAACTTTAAATAACTTTACTGTATACAAATGTATACAGATGGACAGCCAGCTTCCTGAGCTGACCGCCAAACAAAAAAAGATTAAACAGATAGAGAGAGAGAAAAAAAAGAGAAAATAAGAATAGTAAATAAGGAAATAATAAAAATAAAAATAAAATGAAATAACTACTAACATAAACAAATCAGGAATACATAGAGTTTACAGGAAGATTGGCACAAGAAAAGCAAGGACATACATAGTGATAAGAACAAACATTATTAGGGTCAAAATGAACAATAAAGTGATTCCAAAAAGTTTTCTTTACGTGTAATTTAATAGTTTCTTTAGATAGAGAGATTTTTACAGGTGGAAGAGAATTCCATAAACGAGGGAAGAGGGTGAAAAAAGTGTGATGTGAGGAGTGATGAGAAGTAAATAAAAG